CTCCAAGAAGGTGAACAGTGTTGATGGTCAGTGGAAAGATGAGCTCACTGCTAAGGTTGATCTGCTCTTGAAGAGCAACGAAAGCCAAGTCATGTACATGGACGAGGCAACACCAGAGGAGATAGCTAAAGATCTAGCTGTTTCTGAAGGCGGAAAAAGGGGCGAGGATCATCAGGAAGTTCTCTACATCAATGGTCAAGGGTATGTGCAGAACCGAAACTACTACCAGAACCAGCGGAGCAACCCTAACCTCCCCTTTTACCGGAGCAACAATGCAGAAAGTTCTGGAGATTAAATGCAGCGAAACCAGCAAGGTGCTCCGCAGCAGAGAGGTTTCCCTTCGAGTTTCCAAGAATTTTGTTTTCAACCAAGCTCAGAACCGATTTCAAAGCCAGAACCAAAATCAGAACCATCAGAATCAGCAGAGCAACCCGCAAGATGCTCCAGCTAATTCAGGGGGTGGACAGAGTGAGATCAAAGCCTTAGGGAACATGATGCAGCAGCTGCTCCAGAGTCAACAGATACAGGCCAAGGCGTTAAACCAGGCTACTTCTNACCCGCAAGATGCTCCAGCTAATTCAGGGGGTGGACAGAGTGAGATCAAAGCCTTAGGGAACATGATGCAGCAGCTGCTCCAGAGTCAACAGATACAGGCCAAGGCGTTAAACCAGGCTACTTCTGATATCAACACAAGGATGGACAACATGTTCACTGAGCTCAACACGAAATATGACACAGTGAGCAGTCACATGCGGCAAATTGACATTGCTCTCGCTCAGACTGCAGAGAGTGTCAAGAGACAACAGGGGATGCTCCCTGGAAAAACTGATAGAAATCCAAGGGATTGTTATGCAGTGGAATTGAGAGGTTGTAGACAGCTGAATGATCCAACACCAAGGCGATTTACTGCTGCAGAGAAAGCTAAGTAGAAAGAATCAGAGCAACCTGCTGGGGTCGCTCCGACTATTCCAGAGCAATCCGCTGGGGTCGCTCCGACTACTCCGGATCAACCTGCTGAGACTGCTCCAGACGAAACAGAGCAACCTACTAGCTCTGCAGAGACTGCTCTCGGCAAATCTACTGAAACTCCACCAGCTCGAGTCTATGTTCCTAGGGTTCCCTACCCAATCCCACCTAGACATCTGAGGGATCCCATTAGTGAAGAGCAGCTGGCATGTTTTAACAAGATTGTGAGAAAGCTTCCTAAAGAACTTGCATTTGAAGATGCTCTGCAGATTCGCCCATTGCTCCAGTTCTTTAAAAACTGTCGAGAGACTCAAGAGGAGATCAAGGTCTTATATACTAAAGCACTGTCTACACCAGCACTGAAGGTATTGGCTAAGGTTGATGATCATGGAAAGTTTGTTTTCCCATGTTCCATCGGAGGAACAACCTTTGACGATGCTCTTTGTGACTCTGGTTCTTGTGTTAATCTCATCTCAAAGGTTATTGTAGACGATTTGGGTATTGCTGGTGTTGAGCGTTCTCAGCTGAGCCTGACCTTTGCAAACTCTTCTAGAGCAGTCCCATATGGAACCATCCGCTGCCTTCATGTCCAAGTAGGGGACTGCATTGTTCCTGCTGAGTTTCAAGTTGTTGAGATGGATAAAGATCATGAGATGCCTTTGATATTTGGAAGGACATTC